TATATTAGGCCACCTGTAATTTTCCATGTTAATAAAGCGATTAAACAATTTAACTCTGGTCACTTCATGTGTTTGAGATAAGGGGACCCATCCTAAGTCTCCATAAAGAGCCTCTTTAGGTGTATACCTAAAGAGGCTCTTTTATTGCATGCATACAGGGCAGTCGAACATCATGCAATTCTGTACTCCTTGGTAACCATCCCTTTCACAAGACAAACAAATACACACGATGCTTTGCACAATCTGAATCTCAACATGAGTTTTAGGGGGAGGAATTGAACCCAGGAACCTGGGATTAGAAAGCAAGCATCTTGCGACCAAGCCATTCAGCTCCACTCCTATTTGCTATAATTTAAAGTTGCATGTTTACTGCAGATAGGTTTCTATTGTCCTTGCAAACAAGTGGCTAGTAGCTAGTATTCCAAACTTTCAGTAACTTTTCAGCAAAATAAATATTAGTTTAAGAAATCCTTAAATCCTATTTAAATACAGGATTTCTTACTATTGTCATAAGCCAATCTGGTTTACTGATAACAGTTGGCTTTCCATGGACAACCACTTGTATTCAATCATAAATCAATCAATGTTTAGTCACTAAAAATTCTAAATGTGATTTCTATGGCAACCAATTGAATATAAAACACATAACAACAAACACATAACAATATACTACTGTGTATGTTGAGATTAGTCTTGAAAAAATTATTTCAATATAATTATAGGCAGTGGCTATTGTTACACCAGTCTTAAACAAAATCCTAATTCTGAAGGGATGTTATAAGCATGTATTGGATTAAAACAATAACATTCAATCAGAATTAAAATTTTCACACTTGTGTAACAATAGCCACACTGCCTTGATTATTTACAAAAAGATTTGTGATTTAAAGTTTCAAATCTTGTTTTAATTTTCAATTGAAAGTTAATAATTTAGTTATGAAAAATAATCTATTCATATATTGAATTGTACTTTCATGTTTATTAACTCTATAAACAGTTATCTAGAAGTTTAAAATATTTATTTTGAAATCAAAATTATCTTTTTAACCATACTAAAAAGCTGTTGAGAATTACTTTTTCCTCATAAAAACAAAATCTCACATTATCTGTTGTATTGCAGGTGAAATATTTGTTTCAAAATATTATAAGGTTTAAAACATATTAATTCAACAACATATCCTGATTTGTATTCTGATAATTATGACATACAGTATATCTCTATTAAACAGCGCAG